TTATTTTCTCAGTCCTTCAGACAATGGAGGATAAATTTCAAACAATGGCAGAGGATGTACATGTTCTCAGTTGGACATGTTGGCTTCAGGGGTCCTTACTTGCTGTATGTTAAAGCCACATTCTCACAGTCCCATGGGCAGGTTATCCCCAGTATTCATTGGGATTAACACAATCAGTTTGTTTTGAAAGATGTCTGTAGGAATAGAATAARCAGTTCTGAATTAACAATACAATATGGTCTGTTTCAGGTCTGTCCACATGTATTTAATATAGAAGATACAGAGACAGGTGAACAGCCCAAAAAGAAATGTAACCAAGAAGTTTGTGAACTGAAAGAAAATATATCTAGCCTTCGATCCTGCTGGAATAAATTTGAAAAAAGAATTTCCAGGTGATTCCAGATGAATCCTGCTTTTTTCTTTCAAAGTGGCAATACTTGGTATCTTTGCATTTTATATGCATTCTTCAAGTAACCTTGCTCGCATATATGAACACTTTATGCCAGAATTCTGATGGAAAGCTACTGTACCTTGTTCCTGGAGATGACATRAACAGAAATGGCTGAACCAAGCTGCTGAAGTGCAAGAAATGGTAATAAAAGACCAGCATTTGAAACGRAGAACTCTGCAGAAGTCTGTGTTCAACCTTTGTGCTCTGAAAACTACTTTGAATTTTCTGATTTTTCAAGTAGCTTTATAATACTGTCATATGAAAGCAACCAGTTCTATGTCTACTGCAATTTATAAAAACATCTTGGAATCTTCAAGTGAAGAAAACAGAATGAAAAAGCAGCTGGTTTCTTTATATCTATGCAAAACACGTAGTAAGGACCAAAAGTAACAATATACCAAAGCAGCAAGTAATCTTGGATATGTTCTGCTGACATGAAAGTGTTTTCAGTCTGGATCTAATGGGTCCGCTAACTGATTTGGGTTTGGAAAAACAAGGGAAAAGTTAGCTTTTAAAAAAACTTAAGAAGAGTACTGATTTTTGAGAGATGCAGCATGCTTCTGCTGGCTGAACTACACGCAAGACAGTGAGCCCYGTGGAAGACAAAAAGGGAGATGCCTGAATGTAAATTTGCTCAGTTGACTGGGAAGAGCACTATCCTCATGCATTTGGTCAACCCGGAGTTAGCTGCAGGAGGAGCTTCCACAGCTTCAGATTGTGATTTCTTATATGCAATTATTTTATATAACATGTTTTAAGATGTTAGACAAACATGACTTAAAATGTGTGAATATTGTCAGAGAATAATATATTGGCATTTAACTAATAAAGTGCTCATATTTAATTTTGAATAAATATAAGTATTTTTATAGTTGTTTATAACTTTTGCAGTTTCTTACTTTGATATAACTCCTTTGGTAATAAAATATTTGTCTTCTATGGAATTGGGTTGTTCACTTTTTGGCTGTCATTCCTTCTTTTTTAGTTTTTTTTTTTCAGAGACAGTCAGTCATTAAAAGCACAGCTTGTAATGTAACTTCCAATTGCTGGGGACTTTCCATTTTAAAATACCTATTTCTTAGCTGCTTGTAACTTGCYAGTTTAGGCAAACATTTCCATACCAACCAACTGCCTTGAACTAAATACTTCAGGAAAGCTTTAGTTAAACCACACTTGTTTCTTGGTTCAGAGTAAACTAATATAAATTGTTTTATCTATGCTAAWTTTTTTTTTTCTGTAGAACTACTCTGCAAAAATTTTGGTATTCAGAACAAACACCTGAAAAAGCAGTAGTATRTGCTTCAAAGAACTGTTAGCTCAGTGGACTGTAAACAGCACTAGCCTTATGTATTTGACTGGAATAAGATTGCTGTTCTGAATCTGTGAGGGAAGGGGTTAAGAGCAAAGCAATCATGCCATACTTCCCTGGAATACACCCCCACCATTCATTTATGGTGACGAAGAGGCAGGAGTGGTCACTTTGTAAAACTGTGACTGAGACTTTCAGATATTCTCTTCAGTTGTTCATGTAAGAGACTGCAACTTTAACTCCAAATATTTAAAAAGCCTCAAACCAACCCCAACCATAAATCTTTCATGTAACAGGGAAAGGAAATATTTCCCACTAGCATACTGCAGATAAGAGAACMTAACCACTGTTGTAAGGATTTCGCTAGAAATCTCCTCTTCTGAAAGATGACCCAGGAGACAAAGGATTCAGCTGGTCTCTGAAGAACAGTTGTTTTGATTTATTTTGGAAATTCAGGAACAGCTGAAAGCCAACACTTATTTCCTAATAACCACTTGGCAAGGAAAGGGCACTCTGAATTAAAGCAAATAAACACAGATACAGTATTAGCTACTATGAAATTGAAAGTTCGGTGAGTTTAAATGACTTAAGTCTTGGGAGAAATGAAACAGTTCCAGRACTACCCTGGGGGAAAAGACCATGGGTAGACCCAGAGCAGAAATTTAAGTAGTGATTATAAAATTGTGACATTTTTCTGATYACTTCTCTTAATAAATATCCTGCCTGATTCTTGTTGCCAAATTTCTTGAGTCACCATTTACATGCTAAAAGCAGTGATTTGTGCTCTAACCAGAACTTCCTCTGGTCTCCTGAAGTTACAAATGTTGCATAAAGTGCTTTTAAGGAATGGGCAAAGGGATGAAAACCTTGCATKTTATTATCACTGCCATGCCTACCTCCGTGCCACTTTCACACATTTATTTATTTATTAGGTCACAGCAAAGAAACAGTACGAGTAGGTCTCTCTAAATCAGAACCATGATTTAGAAGTATATGGAATTTATGGGAACATGTCAAGAGGAAAAAACATCGTTATTTAAATTAGTTAGCCCTGTTGTTGGAAGAGGTTCAGGTTTGAGACTGAGGAACCTGAAGGTGCACAAGTCCATGGGATGTGATGCGATACATCATCTGTGAGTTCTGAGGGGACTGGCAGAGGAAGTGTCTAAGTCACTGCCCATCAAATTTGAGAAGTCATGGCAGGACAGTCCCTCTGGATGGCAACCTGTCCTTCAGGTATAACTGCWCTGCTCAGCTTTGTGGCATCTGCAAACTTGCTCAGGGTGCACTCAGTCTCACCGTGTCATTGGTGAAGATATTAAATGGGCACCWGTCCCAAAATGAGAGCCCTGAGGGACAGCACTCATTACCAGYCTCCACCTGCACACAGAGACACTGACCACAACTTTCTGGCTGCATCCACCCAGTCAATTCCTTTTCCACTCAATAGTCTACCCTTCAAATCTGTATCTTGCCAAGTAAACTAAAGAGCTCAGTATGAGGAAGTTTCCCCTAAAAAAAAGCAATGAAAAGAGGAACTGGTTTCTGTTAATCCATATTAAGCAAAAAAAAAAAATCTGGAATGCAAATCCTTATGATAATKTCTGTTCACATAAGTGAACTTCTCCAGAAAAATATAAATTTCTGCTTTTTTATCTCAATAATTTTATCAACAAAAGTGTTCTAATATCATGAAGGAGAACAAAACCAGTAAGTTTACTATCCCTTTTTAAATTATTTAAACAAAAAACCACGAACAAAAACAAACAAAAAAAAAACCCCCTACAAATGTCATAGTGATGGGCTCTACATAAACTAAATTCTCAGTATAGTTGGGGAAATAGCAGAGATACAGAGTTAACTTTACATAAGCAGAGMACATGGATTTGAATATCTGGCATATTTTTCAAGGTGACTTAGGAATCCAAATCTCAACTTGCACAATTCAAAAACCCTTTTCTTTGTGTACCTGAAATCAGACATCACAATATTCCTAAGGGTGAAATTTTATTTCTTACTTGTATGCTATATTATTTAAGGTAATTTCACATTTGACTACAAAAATTTGCATATCACAGAAAGTTTTATTGGCATATTTGCTTTATTGTTAACAAGTGGCAAATTAGCATTAAGTGGTGATACACGTTTATTAACTGAAATAGAAATGACACTTTAAAATAAACATAATATACCAAATAAGATGCAAACAAGCCCAAGAATTCTGGCAAAAAAAAAAACAAACAAAAAACCTCACTGAATGGTCACAAACATAAATATTCCAYATACTGAGGGGCAAGGCAAATATAATAAATGCAATGCTGAAAAAATTAACCACCTCCAACACATGAATGAACACACCATTTAAAAACATGGAACATCAATAAATAAACTTACGAAGATAAACATTAAGTGTCATATGAAGGATGAACACCAAGAGTTAAAGCAATCATATAAAGCAGTTTTTGTAACAGTTGTAGCAYACTCAGCACTTTACAGATCCCATTCAAATCCATTCATGCTTCTGCCAGAAAACCAAATAAAAATACAGAACCATGGTAAACCATTCACTCCTATTTAGAACTTGGGTTTAATATTCAGCTATATAAAACTGAGTATTTGATTTGCTTACTCAGATGTTTGAATTAGGGAAATATAAATTCCCTACTATTTTTGTAAAGAACAAACACTAATTAGGAGAAAACACAAAGAAGCTGTTTTCTGGCAAGATGAAGTGGGATGGGACTAAACAGGATCTAGAGAAACRTGTATTATTTTGGAATGACATAACAGCAAAAAAMCAAACCCAAAACAAAACAAAAAATGAACCAGAATGTAAGAGTAATCTCTTATACTGTGAATACTGGAAAGAAAATATCAACCAAGTAACCACTGAATACAGCTAATGGAGTATTTTATTTGACACTTCTTCCAACAACAAAATTAGGTCACTCAAACCTTACTTAGTGAGTTGGAAAAAACCAACCAGACTAACCAGCAACAAAACCATCACAAGCTGGAATAAGCTGTACTTGAAAGGCAATAAAACTATTTTCACCAGAGTCACTAAAACAAATTCTACCAAAGATGAAAATTCTACCTTCTCATACAACCCATAAAACTATTCATAGCTTAGTCAAACTGGATAGAATTAAAATTGAAAAAAGTGCTCTTACTAAACATATTTTTTTCAGCCAATATTAAAAACACTCATAACAGGTTTGTTCTTTGCAATATACAAAGTCTATGTGACGGAAACTAGCACTTCCTGTGACCTTTGTAATACAGAGACAATACCATTTAATTTTATATGCAGACTAATTACAGAGTCCACATCAGTGTGCACATACCTTGTTTATTATCATTTAAAGTACTGCAGTCATCCTTCCTTCCACTGACTCAATAAGCAGGCATCTGGAAATATTCTCCCTGCATTTCAGGTACTAACTCTCAGCTGTGATGATGAATTCAGAGCTAGTCCCTTGCAGATGACACAGAACTTTCCTGATGCATAAAGACTGGGTCAGGTGTTAAAACACAGTTTGTAGCTCCCACCCTGTGAAGGTGCAGGACGTGTGGCCACACTGGAGTGGCCACTGCCCCAGCACTGCGGGGAAGGCTCGCTGCCCGAGCACCATGGAGAGCTCCCCCTCTCTCCTGACCTCCCAGCCAGGGAACCCTCAGGTGGAACTTTACCACTCCTTCCAGGGGTTTCAAGCGTTTTTTGAGYCTCTTTGGCAAATCTGAAAACTTCTGCCTATATGTTCATTTCATAGTTACAACCTGAAATGGAGATGAAGCACTGCCCGTGCCCACCTTCCTGCAGCAGTGTGTAAGACTAATTATCCATATAAACACATATTTTAATTGCTGTGTATTTAGAGACTCCAGTTCTGAAACTACCTAAGGTGTGAGCATCATGCATAATTATAAACCTGTGTAAGGTAGATCWTATAAAGGCTAAGCTGTAGGCTATGCTGTTTTTAATATTGAAGCTAGTATTTGTCATAACTCCATTGCACTTCTATCAGCATAGTTCCAATGATCATGCACTCTTTCCTGGCACAGAGAGGTCCTTTGTGTAAGAGATAATCACAAAAGCAGAATGGGAATGCAAACACCCTCAGCAAAACCAAACAGCAAAACCAGCCTCTTCCATGTTTCTTTAAATGGAATTTTACCTTAGACCTTTTTTCCCCTCTCCTTTAACAAATGGAAGAACCTTAGTAAAGCACATTAGGAAGACAAAATGGCAGACAGTAAAAGAAAATCTGTCATAAGGTTAGACATCAGTCATAGGTTTAGAAATCATCACAACAACTGCATCACTACATTTCACTACAAATAGACAGTGCATAGTTCATGTTTTTTTCCTCCCATGAAAACCAAGGCATAAACGTGTGGAGAAGACTAGGGCAAGAGGGTTTAGATGTAGATCACCAATACATTAAATTTGGGAACTTCCTGACACAGATAATACACTAAAGATTGAAAATTCAGTCCAACTCCCCAAATTTTTTTTCTGTAAATGTAACAAATTTGTTTTCCACATTCAGTTCTGCAGGAACACCATAAAAAAACAATTTACTGTTTTGCACAAACATTCCATTGAGATGGAATTACAGTGATCTGTGCAGATAACTTGTGTAATACAAGCTAGGGTCTGTAACACCACAAATTTCAGAAATCTGTATCRTTCAGTAACAAAATTAGCTGATAAACACAAAATATATTGGGCCTCTCATAAGTCTTACCATACAGCTATGAACTACGTAGTTAAAAAGAATTTCATCTGCTTATACTTACTGTAGATTCAAACAAACASATTATCCAGTGTTGCTATCAACAGTCAATTATATTTCATAACCCTCCTTTGTAAGGCCAAATTAAAAGATCAGTTATAAAAACCTTTTTTTCTGTTCAGGTTAATTCCCTGTGTAATCCTCATGATAAATCACAGATGTGTAAATGAAGCAAATGATGTGCTATTCAAATAATTTACTGAATGCTGCACTGAAAGGCAAGAATCTCACAAACAGCTCACAAAGCAGAAAACATAGTAACTGTATGAGGATTGATTTGAAACTACAAAATCTGCCACCTACAATTCAAAGGAGAAACAGTCAATATGCTTTTTCCTATAGTTACAATAATCCTGGAAAATCTGAAAGGTATTTAGTACCATACTAAACATACCCTTTTAGAAAGCATTTTTAATAAATGGTAAAATGCATTTTCCAGCAGAAACAACTGAAAATTCATCAGGTCAGAGTAAATTCACTATCTGAACAAACCTATTCTGGACTGGCCTCTCTGCTGATAGACTCTCAGCTTGCAATAGTTCAGTCTGMACACGTGGCCCAAGTCCAGGGCAAATTTTCCAAAGCAGGCTTATCTATGAAAGAATGCAGCATTCCAGTTTTTCCAAGCACAGACATGAATGTGCCATAATATGAATCCCAGAATCTAAACTACTTACAAAATAAATTGGCTAGGATTTGTCAGTTGTAACTATCACTACCAGTCATCCATCCTATCATGCTTGGTAGCCAGCTTACACCAATTATAATTAAGACTACACTGAATGAAGGGTAATTTCTAAAAAAACATTTTTGTAGAAAAACTGCAAGACACTCACTGAACTAATTTTAAAACATCCATAGCTTGTGGCTTGCTACATGACTACATCAAGTCTCTTAAATCTCATTCTCTTAGACTGGYATCAGCTTTGAAGTTGCTTTTTGTCAATCAGGTCTTCTTCCAAACTGGCCCCATTGATAATCACAATTTTTGAAGATGTATGCAATGACCATAATACTATCATGGAACACTACGTTATATTATGAGTAAATTGCAATGAAATCAAAATAATTGAAACGAATGGTGTTTGTGAGCTGAAAGTACCAATTTCTGAAAAAAGAAAGTATTTACTGTGGGAAAGGCACAGTTAAGTTGTTTCAGATTGTTCTTTCACGCACAATGAATATGGTGCTAATACTTCAAATCAAAACTTCACAAAAKAAATTACTACAATAAGATACAAGTTAAGTGATTTGGCTTGTGAGAGGTTTCAGTATCCCATGTAATTGGTAAAAAGCCCAACTTTGAGTCTCTCCCTYCTTCCCAATGAATTAATATGAAATCTATTACTAACTTGAAGAGGCTGCTGTTTGAAATCAGTAATACACAAAATTGCAAAACAACCCCATCAGGTATTGGTGTATAAACCTGTGAAGCACAATTATTCCTCTATGTATTCGTACATGTAAGCTGTGCTATCTTCACAGAATAAGAATAAAGAAGAGTCACTACTTACATCAAGATCCACTGCTCTAATAGCATTCATTCTTACAGAACTATTTTTTTGGTATTGGATATATCAAGAAGGCTGTTTTTAAAATAAGAATTCAACATTTAGGCAGGATAAGCATAGACTTTGACTTTAATTAAGGAAACGAGGGAAGACAAAAATGAGCAGGACCTTTGGAAATAGGACGTAGACAAAGCACAACATCTTTAGACATGCTAGTCTCGGTGGAGCACAGAAGGAGGAAGACAAGTATTTCAGAACAAAAGGAACTTAATAAAATGAAGATATCATATTTGCCCTTATAAATACATTAAAATAGTAACTTCTTACTGAAAACAGAACGTGGAAAGCCACAAAAAGAAAATCTTGTCTTTCTTCTTACATGCAAAGAGAATTCTCAGGTAGTCTTTCCACTYTGATTCTTTAAAAAAACCTAGGAAGCAACTGGAAAGTCCAATTAGGATATTACTRTTCAAGAGTTTAAAGATCCAGACCTTTTAACTAGGAATTTGTAAGGAGCTGCTCAGGTTGTTTTCACTTAGAACACAGCATCTAAGTTACTGTCATAGATKAAAGAAATGCCTCTACAGAGAAACTTTTGAAGCCCAAGTTGCTCATGGCCAGTTCCCTATAGGTATTAAGCTACATAAATGATTTTTAAAAAATCCTTTGTCTAGTAGGATTTACAAAAAAAAATAGCATAGAACCACTTCTGCTACCTAGGTTACTTAACATATTTTAACCTTCATTTTAAATATTTTCAACAAAGAGTAAAGAATGGCACAGTTTTAGGTAGCTGCTATTTTTATATACAGTATAYATATTGGTTTATAAATAACTGTGTAACCAGAAGATTGCACTCAGAAAATTAAAAGGTGATGTTTCAACGTTTGCAGCATGAAGTCTAACTGGATGGASTGCTCTAGCTTTCCATGCAACAGTACATAGCAGATGTTCCAATCACTTGTTTTCTTTCTGCTTTTAAAATTGTGCTCACACAACCATTCTTCGAATTCCACACTCACAGCAGAACTTTGCCCATTCCACTGGATACTTCGTTCCACATTCATGGCAGAACTTGGATAAATGTACAGGTGAAATTCCTTCGCTGCTTTTTGCACTTCCTCCATTGACTGAGGATGAGCAGTCTCCACTGTCACACACCGTCTTCCCATCAGACCTGAAAATTCCCAGATAAAGAACATTCTCTGTAAGTCARTTCAGCACAACCTGATATAAAATTAGTCTAATCCTTGCAATGAATACCTTTATTGTTACTGTCATTTTCATGCCTGCACTTCCTATTTACAGTAGTACATCTTACACACAACGCTCCCCAGGCTCCCATATGTATCCCCAGATACCCACTTTCCCTACAAGAAAACAAAAACCACCAAAGTTCTAGGAACAGGATCAAGTATTTCACTGACTACTTAGAATAACTGGAGTGTCTGAAAAYTTAAAGCCCAGCTTGTCCAAAAAAGAAAGGCTAAAACAGCAATACAATTTTTATCCTACCCTTTAAAAGGGCAAGAYAATCTGGGTGCTTAGCATGCAGATTTCACTCAATTTCTACTGAAAGAACATTCGCTTGTTTTTTCAACAGCTCCCAAGTGGTTTTTGACATTTCTAAGTCTCTTCTGTTCACATCAGAGACATCTGATGACAAAGGTGTGCTGTCAAATGACAGATAYGCAAAATATATTGATCATCTTAAACAAGCCAAATATTTATTAATTGCAAAGAATAATATATTCTCCAATTTCTTTTGAATAAGCAATCCCCTTTAATGAAGGCTCTACTGATGAAAACATCCACAAAGTTAAAAGCTACCTTAAGTACATGTCTGAATTGYTCGTTTTTCTTCTGTTTGTTAAAGCACCTGTGCTCATGGCCCTTGACACACTAGGAGGGGTTGATGTCCGGGTTTTTGTTGTGCCTCTAAAATAGAAGAAATATCAGATRATTTACACAYSCACACAGAAATACATACAATATGCATTTCCAAATTTTTATATATATGCAGAAATAAAAGTTCAACAATCCACACATTACTTAATTGCATGAAAAATAACTAATTTCCTACCAAAAGCAGACAGAGGAGCTTTGGCATGAACTTATATGGTTTGAACTTTATGACTTGAATCTTATAATGACAAGCTAAGTGAAACAGCAAGTCCCTTCCAGTCCGTGTGTCTCACTTCCTAACAGATAGATCCTGCACTACTGATTGCTCAGTATATTCWAATGTCTACCTTGACAAATTATAAGTCACTTTTTAGAACTGGCAGATCCTTTAGAAGAGTAGCAGATTACTGTAGGTCTAAATAGTTTAAGATCTGTAGAAAGGACACCATATCCAATACTTTGGGACCAATATGAAGTGAGCCATAAGACTTTTTTCTTCTTATATAATGCTGTAAATCCCTTTTCTTCAAAGCATAATTATGTTTATTATTATAAATAGAAGGCAAAGAATAAAAGTGCATCCAGCTGGGCCTTAGGGCCTCWATTTTTTCTAAACTGTCACAGAGCTCCTAAAGTTGGCATCAATAGTATGACCACACAGATGTGAAAACTGCTTTCCTCARGACTCACGAGTTTTATGAGAAGCCAGTATACAATAAACAGCACACCACTTTGGTGAGTAGAGAAGAATCAGAATAAAAAAATCTGAGTAGCACTGAGAAAAATGAATGGGAAGCGGCATTGTTTTATCATTAGTGACCAAGGACAGAAATTTGCATCATTGCTCACAAGAATTACCATTCACTGGGATTTCTTCTTCTTTGGCAAGTCTTCAGACTATGACATCCTGCGCATGACCAAGTTTTTCTGCTCTCATTCTTGAACACCAATRCATAAATGAAATTTAAGTTGTGACTCTCTCAAGGACATTAAAAAAATTAAAACAACACTCCATTAAAAAACTTAGTCACTAAGAGACCATTTGTTCCCTTCAAATAAATCTAACTGCTCCTTTCARAATTATACACTATCTGGTCTTGGTTTGGTTTTCAAACCACATAGGTTTGTTAAACCACACATTAAGGAAATGCAGTCAACTCAAGTAACTTCAAATGCAAATGAGGAACATGCAGTAAGTCCTGAATTATACACAAGCTGCATAAAACATTTTYCCCTTCATGTCATGAATAGGGAATAAAGATTGCTTTTCAGCTCCTTCTATCAGTTCAGTCAGTAGAAAAGTGATCAAATAATCARGCACAAAGGTGGAAATCAGCAACTAAATTTAAGATTAAATAAATTGAAATTATATTTAACCAAAATATTAAAGTCTAACAAGAATGGCTTCTGCATGCAACAGGTTTAGAGTGGAATRATGAAATACAGCTAACTGGGCAGAACACTAACCTTCTCCATTAGTTTTCCTGTCTGCCCCCTTATTTAGCAAGGAGATTCCAAAGATGGACTTAATTGAAAAAAAACACTGAGCAGACTGAAAAGTGCTTCACCAGTTACATCAGAATTAAATCTTACTGGAAGTTATGTCAGTCCTTCAGAAGTTACAGAATTCCAGGACAAAAGCTCTAAATGTAACCTAAATTACACTTCTRTAAGTATACACAACACTACAAATGCTAAATACTCATCTTGTGCTATTTTCCTCATCTCATTATACAATGAAGATAGACCTTTGCTTATAGTTGAGTAAAATTTATTAGAGCTCAACAGTAGAAAGAACATACTGGACTGTTACTTTACCTGTTATGGAAGACAGAAAAGAATATAAAGAAAAATTCAGCCATACACACAGAAACATCATGGATCAGGGATGATTAGACAATGAAGCAAAGAACAGAACTGTATCTCAATTCCTGTTTAGACAGCTCCAAGTAAGTAAAAGAAAAATTCAAAATTATTACTGACTCAGTTTTCTCTRAATTTTCACACCTTGGGACCAGTACACTAATTTTTCAAAAATAACAGCATTAGTTTCTTAAATTGATGTCTCTGAAGAGTGTACTTTGATTCAGTTTTGAAGATCATGTTAGGAGCCTAGGTATTTGAAATAAATTGACATAAAYATCAGTTCACTACTCTTTCCTGTGTTTCAACTGTATTATACACTCTCATCCCACTAAGTAATCTGAAAATTTACCTGATGCTTTAGTACTAGGTGAACACTAAAGAAATTTCTGAGAAAACAGTGTCTTAATACAGCACTCAGGCCACTGACTGAGCTGGGGAGGGAAGGAAATCAAAATACTGAAAAGCCACATTCAAAGTGCACAGTCCACCCTGTATATCAAAGGAGGCGAAGTTTCATGAACAGGACACCTTCATTCCAAGATGTTTAAACACAGCTTTCTGCATAATTTCTGCAGTCTTTTTTTTCAAAACTAGTTTTCTAAAAATATAGGAAACCCCCCAAATATATTTTCAGAATAGAAACTTCAAATCTTACCCATTCTGTGGTTTCTGATATTTTTGATGAGTAAATAACTCAAGGAGTAGGCTGCCACTGTCTACAATTTTATTCAGCCCAAATCTAGAAACATAATTAGCAACAAGTTTCACRTACACTTGGTGACAAAATCTTGAAATTGCATCCTTAAGCAGCAATCTAATCTCTACAGAGAAATGTCTTCCAACAAAGTGAGATATTTTTGGTTATTTCAACTTGTGCCACCACAGCTTGGTTTCTTCTGATCTGCCCCATCTCTGCCTTCTCTGTCCACTTCTGTTGTTTTTCCTGTTTGGTTTGATTTTTTGTTTTGTATTTAAGAGCTATATAAATCCCTGTTCTATGTTGTATCACATGAAATATGAATAGACCCTGACAGCAGATGAGTTTGTACATCAATACCAGCTGTAACTCTTAAAATTTGGACATACTTTAAAGAAACTTATTATCCACTCTCTATTTTAAAAGAAAAAAGATTGAAATTGACTTCCCCTCCTATAGCAGCTCATGTTGTWCATTTAGTTGAATTACCACAACTTGCAAAACACAAATCTGAAAGTAATTTGTAAAAGAAGCTTCTCTTTTTCTATGCACACATTCATGATTTGATTGAATCCTATCAGAAAATACWAACATATAAAGCTTGCTTCCTAGACAAAGTGTTTTCAGATATTGACAGCTTCCACTGCAACCCACAACAGCTCATAGTTCTGTGCAGTCATAAATAATTTTCTGCTGACTAATGGCATGCATAATAAAGTCCAGAAACCTTTGCCATAAACTGCAACCATCCACACTACTATGCTGAATTTCGGAATGGTTAGGAAGTATTCACGTTTGCTGAATGCTGTTGGCAAGCAATATTGAATAACCTACTGCAAGCAAGGCAGATTTAATTAACAAACTCAGTGCATACTATAGTAAGAACCAGAGATGGTACAAAGAGCAGAATTGATTATACTTTTAAAAAAWTTCTTTCAAGAAGAAAAATATCAAATCACTGCTCTACAGATAGGGACTATTTAAAGCAATTGCAGTAATTCATTAAGCTAAATTTCCAACCTCTTAATAATGTATATAACAGARTATATGTAATGTGAAACAGAAAATATGTAACAGAATGAAAAACTGAGCTAATTTTTGATGGTTCATAGGATTTATAATTCTCAACAAACCTGAAAACAAGAAATAAAAATATAAAGACATTCTGTTTGTCTAAAAAGAGCTCCCATTGCTTTTGTTTCTTCAAATAAAAACCAGAGTTCAAATATTCTGTCCCTGTCTCAAAGATACTWCAGCTTTGGTTACAGCATTAAGAGATTCAGACACATTTCTACTATGTAAAGCGTTACATTGCACATATGTGCCACTTAAATTATGACCTATTTCTCTTTTACAATATGAAAAAGCAGCCCATTTAAATTTGGCATCTCCAAAATATATCAAAGGCTTAACGACAATTTACTATCTATTTCCTTTTTAAAAGATTAGAATAATTGGAATGCCAYTCCTTCCAAATGCAGATCTTACCTTTATGTAAAGTAAGTTGGACTTAACCAAAGACTTTATGTTACATCACAAAGTCTGCCTTCCTCACGKTTTTGGACCATCACAGCTACCTTACAAATGTAGCAGTTAGACAAACATTTGACCTTAAGAGAATAAAATTACTTTGTCAAAAACCAGTACAATTATTAGGCTTAAATGGTTGCCTCAGCTWTGCATCACACCAATCAGTTTTATCTCAGGTTTAGAAAGACACAAGTTCATTACTTTTAATATGTAATCAAGTGCTGACAGAAGAAATAAAATCTGAGGGAAACCTTCATCTTCCCTGTCCTACTGGAAAGCTGTTTACCTTGCACTGATAYTAAATATGTAATTTATTCTTCTCCTACAGCATTTATATTGAAGACGTACATGGCAGCTGATGTTTGTCAAGGGCATAYTTTTCTGCTTAGGAAGAACATTTTTGCAAAATAGATAAACCACACTGATTTGTAATACTGATTTGTAATACTTACTTCTTTACAGGCAACAACTCATTTGGCCTTTTGACCGTACTGTTTGTTTTTGTATCAGTGCCATAAAACCTTTGCACATCTCTTCCAGTTCACAGTGGTGGGCCTAACTTGTCCATTTTACCATTAAAATATATAAAGGGGTGCTCATAAGGACAGTGCTAAATTGCTATTCAAGTTACGAAAAAAAAAATTAAAAATACTCACAATCCAATACTTATATTAACAAAGAAATTCCATTGACTTTAAAAGTACAAATCAGATTTTAATTATGCAGCAAACAGAAGAGTTCTTCTTGATGAAGGATGGATTCCTTAGACTTCAAACTAGGTTTCCAATACTTGTTTTTAAATTCTTTTTCAAATAAAACACTAATTGCAGTTATCCTCACATTCTGCACAATGTACTCACATTTGGCCTCTTTTAAGAGCTTTAAGAGCTTTCATGATGCCATACAACACATCTAGAAAAGGGGGCTCATAATTACAAGT